GCCGTTATAAACCTCCTCCTCTCGCCTCCGTCTCCACTAGACTCAGATCTAAACCTCAACGCGCACCATGGCAGAGACCGCACCCGCAGCACCCGCTCCGACTAAAGCCAAGGCCCCCAAGAAGAAGGCCGCAGCCAAGAAGAGCGATGGCCCCAACCTGACAGCCCTCATCAAGGCCGCCATCGCGGAGTCCAAGGAGCGCAAAGGCGTTTCCGTGGCCGCCGTGAAGAAGGCGCTGGCGGCGAAGGGCGTCGATGTGGTCAAGGCCAACAAGCGCATCAACAACACCCTGAAGAGGATGGTGCTCAACGGCGTAGTGAGCCAGACTAAAGGCACCGGGGCCTCCGGCTCCTTCAAACTGGCCGCAAAGGAAGCCAAGCCTAAGACCGTGAAGAAGGCCCCCGCCAAAGCCAAGAAGCCCGCTGCAAAGAAAGCGACCACCCCCAAGAAGAAGGTGGTGAAGAAGGTCAAGTCACCTGCAAAGAAAGCTGCCAAGAAGCCCACAGCAAAGAGCCCCAAGAAAGTGACCAAGAAGCCCGCAGCAAAGAGCCCCAAGAAGGTGGCTAAGAAACCCGCCAAGAAGGTGACTCCCAAGAAGCCCAAGGCCGTGAAGAAGAGCCCCAAGAAGGCAGCTCCCAAGAAGGCCAAGAAGTAAACTCCTTTGTATGTGTTGTTTTTCAACTCAAAGGCTCTTTTAAGAGCCACCACCTCCGCTAGAGTGACGCTTCTGTTCTTAAGCCAACGTATAAATCACAGTGTTATTATGCACGTCTAATAACTAGGACTAATAGCATTATACAAGCCGCAGCACTTTACAGGCTGCGGCTGTAAAATGCCAAACTGGTTGAGTCCTTATGCAAGACACTTCACCCACATTAGAATGAGTCTCGTGTGTGTGTGAATGGTTGTTGGTGGTGAGACCAGCCGATGGCACATACTGGTTGCCTCGCTTCTGTCAGTGTGCCCCAGGGCAGCTGTGGCTACATTAGTAGTTTATCACCACTTTGTTTGGAGTGAATGAATAAGGACATGTGAAGTGTATTTGTGTGTCCAGAAAAGCGCTGTATAAAACATATGCATTATTACTATTATTACGACAAATCAATTACGTATAATGATCTTTTGTCACATTCACTTTATTGATATTTCGTAGTAAGGCAAGGCAAGGCAAGTTTATTTATATATAGCACAATTCATACACAAGGCAATTCAAAGTGCTGAACAAAACAAGAAAGCATTAAAATCATAAATAATCACAGAACATTAAAAAGAAAGATATACAAATATAAAATCCCTCAGTTGTATGCACAGCTAAACAGAACTGGTTACTTTTAACCTGGTTTTAAACATTGTCAGAGAGGAGGCCTGTCTCACAACAACGTGATACAATCGATAATAATGTTGTGTGTGTATCTCTTCATAAATGACCAGTTCCTGTCTGTCATACAGGGGACAGTTAAACATATAGATGACAGTAACTGTTGTTTTTCCTGAGTCTCCAATATATTACAGTCGATGGTCCCCTCCAGAAACTGGTGATTCTGCCCCTCAAACGTATTCAGAGTCAGAAGCCTCCGCCTCGTGAATGAAAGCAGCGCGCGGGACAGGGGCGGGGCTAACGCCTCAGAACCAATCAGCTTCGCCCTGACATGTATAAAGACCCACAGCCTCAGCTCTGAGTCTCATCCTGTTTCAAGTTCTCGCACTGATACAGAGCAAACAAAATGGCCAGAACCAAGCAGACAGCCCGCAAATCCACCGGAGGAAAGGCTCCGAGGAAGCAGCTCGCCACCAAAGCTGCCCGCAAGAGCGCCCCGGCCACCGGCGGCGTGAAGAAGCCTCACCGTTACAGGCCCGGCACAGTGGCTCTGAGGGAGATCCGCCGCTATCAGAAGTCCACAGAGCTGCTCATCCGCAAATTGCCCTTCCAGCGCCTGGTCAGGGAGATTGCCCAGGACTTCAAAACCGACCTGCGCTTCCAGAGCTCCGCAGTCATGGCTCTGCAGGAGGCCAGCGAGGCCTACCTGGTGGGTCTGTTCGAGGACACCAACCTGTGCGCCATCCACGCCAAGAGGGTGACCATCATGCCCAAGGACATCCAGCTGGCTCGCCGCATCCGCGGGGAGAGGGCTTAAAGCAGCGGCTCCATTCTCCACACAACGGCTCTTTTAAGAGCCACCACATGCCAATAAGAGATTGACTTCAATGTGTGAAATATGTAGTAATAAATTCCAAACCCAAAGGTACAAAATTCATAATGACCGTGCATGACAGACTATCCAAAGGATGCATGAACGCAACGTGAAGTATAGATTGACACTTCCTGACTATCCATTCATTTTCTTCCCCTTAATCCATTTCTGGGTCGTGGGAGTGAATTACTTTTGCAACAAGGGTAAAACTAACCTGTCTCACGACGGTCTTCATCTCCAAGACTCCAAGAGAAAGCAGTTATATTTCTATTTCATGTTCTAAACGAAACGGCCTGGCATGTGTGCTATGTTATACTTGACCCTTCATGATACTCCACGAAGGCTTATTTTGGTTAGACATTTCTCACTCTCCAGCTCGTGTCTCACCCCTCAATCTTATGGTCAAATGGAGGATTTTACATTTATTATATCTTTTGGTGTTCGAAACATGTACAAAACTTACATCAGATATTTATCATGATAGGATGAAAAATATAGTAATCAGAGATCCACCAAAATTGATAATTATTTACTTTACTGGACAACTCTCATTCATCACTGAATGAATGAACGTTGTGTAAAGAGCGCGCTCAGCCTGAGGCTGGCTCCGGGTGGTGTGTTCTGATTGGTGTACTGTCCTCCAATCTAGACCAATCAGCGCGAAGCAGGGTCTTTATATATCAGCCGCATCTTCGACCGAGCACAGTTGAATCTTTCAAGACTCAAAGAATAGCTCAAGATGTCTGGACGAGGAAAGGGCGCAGGTAAAGCCAGAGCGAAGGCCAAGAGCCGCTCTTCCAGGGCCGGGCTGCAGTTCCCCGTGGGCCGTGTGCACAGGCTGCTTAGGAAGGGTAACTACGCCCAGCGCGTCGGAGCCGGAGCACCCGTGTATTTGGCCGCGGTACTCGAGTATCTGACCGCTGAGATCCTGGAGTTGGCCGGAAACGCCGCCAGAGACAACAAGAAGACTCGTATCATCCCCCGCCACCTGCAGCTGGCCGTCCGCAACGACGAGGAACTCAACAAGCTGCTGGGAGGAGTGACCATCGCCCAGGGAGGTGTGCTGCCTAACATCCAGGCCGTTCTGCTGCCCAAGAAGACTGAGAAGGCCAAGTAAAGACTGTGAACAACCACCACACAACGGCTCTTTTAAGAGCCACCCACTCCCTTGAAAGAGATGTATCTTCTGTTGTGAATACGAGTGCTATACCATTGGTTATCATGTTTTGTATACACACATGATCCGTGTGTATAGATAATATATATATTATTTTTTTTGCGAGACTATTTATCTAACGCAAGAACGAGATGACTATAAATTCCGAATGAAGTGCTTTTAATGAATCACGAATTTCCTTCCTTCACATGTGGCTCAGAACAGTTCAGTTTGTCAGTTCATATGGCACTAACATGGAGAGAGTGAGGAGCACAGGGACTTTTTGCCTGTGCGTATAACAGACTGCCAGATTCACCTTTATGCAGATGAGACAATGCTTTACTGTTCCAAACCCAACATTGCAGACATTTAACTCACTTCAACATTACTTCAATAATGTTCAGGGTTCGAGACTGGAACAGCCTTCCTGCTTCTATTCGTTTTATAACTTCATTTCTTACTTTCAGAACAGCCACTTTCACAAACCTGCAAAATACTTGTTTGTGTTTATAACGCAAAGTCTTTGTGGTACTTTTTTCGTTGGAGAGTTTGCAATTCTTTTCCATATTTGCCTGTAATCAAATGGTTTAAGCAATGGTTTGTGTGCATGAGAAATGTATATCTTTCACTCACGTGTGACACAATTCTATGTTTGTATATGTACTTAAACATGCTTTCACAAGAATGCAATATCATCTGTAATGTATTGGAGTGGAGGGAGGGTAAATGAGAGTTGGTGTGATGTGTGTGCGTGTGTATGTTTTTGTTTTTTTATTGTGTTTGTAATCTGTTCCAATTTATAGTATCATTTTGTTTCCTTTGCTGTTGTTGTACATCAAATGACTACTCTGCTGTAACCTGTCTATAGAGGACCCCCACGAAAACGAGATGATGCATCTCATGGGGTTATTCCTCTTTAAATAAATGTCTAAATAAATAAATAACTGGAGGATTTTATCTCTGCTTTTGCACTGTGGTTATTTATTATCTTAATCCCTTTGATTTGGTTGATAATAGTGGAACCGATGTATTAAGGCACACAGTTAAAAGTACAGAATGGAATATGTAAAAACAAAAAAGAAGCCAGTACGGTAGGTTTTGTGATTTGAAAAAGTGAGGATGTCGCAGGTCCAGGTTTCCAGAGTTTGGGACCAGAGGCTGGATGCTCTGGCCCCATCGTGGCCATTTAATGGTTTGAATGGTTGTAATGTCGTGTGATTTTAATGTTTATCAGTTACGCCTTCATAGTGATGAAGCTGTAAAGCACTTTGTGTTCTTCTGTGCAGGAAAAGCGCTCTACAAATACATGTGAATTAAAAGATGAATAGAACACATGCAAATGTTCCTGAACTATTGAAGAAACCATAAAGGTGTTAATAACGCCTAAGACCTTTAAAGTTTGACCACAAATTACACTGGTCCTGTCCTGTAAAGAGCGGAGCTGAGCCAAAATCTTTTTTCCCCCCTCATGATTATTGTTCCTCACGTGAACGTTTGTGTAGAAACATGGTGACTGTGAAACCCCACGCCGCGCACGCGCCTCTCCGAAATAACGGCCTTCTGCAGTCTTCAGTCACGTTCGCAGAGGCCTTACAAAGTCAGCAGCGCAGCTGTCTAACCTCATCTGAGTGTCTTACCATAGAACAGTCAAAATGAGCGGAAGAGGAAAAGGAGGAAAAGGACTTGGGAAAGGAGGCGCCAAGCGTCACCGCAAAGTCCTCCGTGATAACATCCAGGGCATCACCAAGCCCGCTATCCGCCGTCTGGCTCGACGCGGCGGTGTGAAGCGTATCTCCGGTCTGATCTACGAGGAGACCCGCGGAGTGCTCAAGGTTTTCCTGGAGAACGTGATCCGTGACGCTGTCACCTACACCGAGCACGCCAAGAGGAAGACCGTGACCGCCATGGACGTGGTGTACGCGCTGAAGAGACAAGGCCGCACTCTGTACGGCTTCGGAGGTTAAAGATGGGACTGTAACAAACTCAAACGGCTCTTTTAAGAGCCACCCACTCTAAAAAAAGAAGAAACTTCTCATGTGATGAATATCATTATGTCCCTTCATTTTGTAGAAAATGTGATAAAAAATAAACTATCTCTGTGGGTCACAACTTCAGCCAGAGGATGGGGAAACTACTCTTCACCAAACACAACGGCTCTTAAGAGACTCCTTCTGTCGTGACTACTAGCGCAAACTTATTTAATGGCTTGACCAGTGGTTTATTTTGGTTTTTTTCCGTCTAGCTTCAACCACCTGTGATGGTAACAGTTTGTGTCCATTTAATTCTGTACGAGTGAGTTGAGCACGAGGTCATTTTAGTTGTTTAAATAATATAAGTTTTTACTTCTTTCTGTTCCTTTTCGTTCATAGTAAATGCTGTTGCATTTGTTCATGAATGAAATAAATAAAAAAATCTGTTTTAAACTTCACTTTATATATTCCATGTCTCTAAATATTCCCATAAACCTAGATGAGCTCTTTGTTTTCTTTTTCTAAACGCTCTCCACAGTTTCTTTGTCCTGTATCCGTGTCCTCCTCCAGAAAGAGAGATGGAGAGAAACTCCAGCGGGGGAGGTCTGACCAATCAAGTGAGAGGAACAGCGCAGCTGCTCTGCATGATGCGAGTATAAAGAAAGCGCACGGACCGCCTCTTGACCAGTCTGTACTCATTGAAGAAATGCCTGATCCAGCGAAGTCCGCGCCCAAGAAGGGCTCCAAGAAAGCCGTCACCAAGACCGCCGGCAAAGGCGGCAAGAAGAGGAGAAAGAGCAGGAAGGAGAGCTACGCCATCTACGTCTACAAGGTGCTAAAGCAGGTTCACCCCGACACCGGCATTTCCTCCAAGGCCATGAGCATCATGAACTCCTTCGTCAACGACATCTTCGAGCGCATCGGAGGAGAGGCCTCCCGCCTGGCGCACTACAACAAGCGCTCCACCATCACCTCCAGGGAGATCCAGACTGCAGTGCGTCTGTTGCTGCCTGGAGAGCTGGCCAAGCACGCCGTGTCTGAGGGCACCAAGGCCGTGACAAAGTACACCAGCTCCAAGTAAACGAAGCGGTTTACAAAGTAACATAAAGGTCCTTTTCAGGGCCACCCACACACAATAAAGAGTCTCTTCTATAATGACAATATGTGTGCAGACTGTAAACTGACCAGAATACGGTCGTTTTTTGTTTTAATTACGTTGCTCATCAAGTCTAATTGTTAGTCTTTTGAAACATTCTCGTCAAATAAAACACTGTTCAGAGTGTTTGGTTCAAAAAGTGGAGAGCAGTTATTACCAATAATTGGAAACTCCTGCTGATATATCTTTTAAGAAAACCTAAAAATAGTTGTAAAATACAGATCATTTATAATATGTCAGGAATAAAACTAGATACATGGTTGTCAGCCCGTACTAGAGCTCATGTGTGAACTTGGTCTTTCCTAAATTTGTATTCGCATGTTCCCGTTCACCGTCAGTGCAGAGTCATTGAAGGCAGTTGTTTATGCAACTATTAAAGGGAACATCTCCTCCAATAATGGTCTGTCATTAAACATTTATCAAAAAGACTCTGGGAACTTCTAAAAGGAGAAAACACAAATTTGCGAAATAAATACATTGTTAATTAACACAATAAAACAACTACCCAGATAGCAAATAGTAATTGAAACTATGTTAATACAATACAATACAATACAATTTATTCTGTTGTATAGCCCTAGGTCACAACAGAAGTCATCTCAGAGGACTTAACAAAACCATTGAAATCACCAACACAGGTCAGAGAATCAACAGTTAAAACACATGAAAAATATGAAGCACACACAGAAGAAAATGTCCATACCCCAAGCATCTTTTAAAAATAAATAGTTTTTATTGTATCTGTATTCTTTTTTTTTTTCTTTTAACACGCTCACTCTGCGTTGGTCGTCCAGCTCCTCCCCCTCGGTCTGGGGCGTAACCAGTGGGGGCGGGTCCCAGCTCAAAAGTGGCCAAAATGACGTGCGCTGGCATACTTGCAATACCACCCCGGGCCGATGGGGGTGGACCCAGAAGAAGAATTAGCCAATGCTAACATATAGCGACCTCTGGAAAACGTCTTTACAGGATGGTCCAGAAGTTGGCTCTTGCCCCGAAGCTCCGTTCCACATGTGTGTCAATGCTGAGGGGGGTGAATTTTTTTTGGACAATTTTTTTTAGTTTACTCGTTAAAGTGAATGGAGCTTGCGCCAGCTGACGCATGCGCAGATGCGTTTTCACAATTTTCTTGTGGGTGGGACCACTCGCGGTCATTTTGGATAGCTCCAGTAGAGCACTATTTTTGGCCCATTTGTTTGAACGGCGGAGATAGGCGTGACTACGTCCGTTAATTTTTACAGACTATGAGAGGAACACATGTACTATATATACAGAGATTACAACACTGACAGCCAACAAGAAAAACGCAATCAACTTGTTATAGATCGCAGGGGACAGCGGAACAGACCTGACAGTGTGACCCAAAACAGAGGCTTATCTGGCCTGCAGCGCTCCGAGAGAGACTCGCTGAGACTCGGAGGAACACACACTGGTTATGTTAGCTAGCTTTATCTGACTCACTACTGTGACAGAAATGGCCGCTACGACCATAGCAGTTGATATTTCACCCTTCACCCTGAGGCCAAATGAACATCAAACATGGAAAAATTCCCCACCGCCTCGCACAAAACAGTAAAATTGGAAATTGTATAACTCCTATCCGTCCAGACGGACTCTGTGTGATGATGAAACACCAGGGGCTAGATGGAATACAAAAAACCAACACCTGGAACTGCAGCAAGGTGGCGCTGTTGCACTCACAGTTGTGTGTTGCTATTTGTTGTGTTTAAGGTCACATGCTGTATTGGTGAACTAATTTCTTGCTTCATAGAAGCATAGAAAGCTCATTCAAAGATTTCCTCTCTCATTTCAGGGCTCAGAACAAATATAATTAAATTGTGATTATAGTTTCATCTTCAAGGGAAATGTCTTTATGTTGTTTTAATTTAATATATTTACAACGAGTTCTCCTGTAACGTTAACGCCGCTGCCAGATAACGGGAAACTAGGATCAGAGGCATAGTTTATGTAATAAGAACGTTTAAAAGTAACATAGCCTACACAAGCAGATGTTTTCAGTCATTGTCAAGGTTAGGTTAACTTTTCTGATAAAGTTAGCATTTATGCTAATCCAATGTCATATGATTGGATATTGTGCTTTTTTTCGGTATAAAAGGTGACGTTCCACGTCCCAAGAGCCAGATGTTGTGTGTGCGGACTGGGTCGCCGAGGTGTCCCTCTTCGACTGCCGCCCAGTCCTCACAGCACCGCGCCACCACGGACCCCTCTGCAGGTGGTGGGCCCACAGGAGGGACTGCCCACGTCATCCCTTCGTATACGAGCTCCGACCCCAGGCCTGGCTCCAGGGTGGGGCCCCGGCTGCGCCATGCCGGGCGACGTCACTGGTGTATTTTTCTACTGTCCATGGTGGTTTTTGGACCGCTCTTCGTCTGACTCGTCACCTGAAACCTGTCTGCCATGGGAGACCCTACCAGGGGCATGAAGCCCCAGACAGCATAGCTCGCAGGATCATCCGAGTACTCAAACTCCCCCACCACGTTAAGGTGGCAGTCCAGGGGGGAGTATATCATCACCACTATTTCTATTAGTTTCTATTTCAGAAAGTCTCTGGGATAGCTGTGCCACACACACACACACTTTTTTTTCTACAATTTTAGGCTACATGGTCTAAGTTATCAAGTTTAGCCTATATCATTCACAGGCATAGTAATGTTAAACTACAATTTACTTGGGACCTAAAGGTTTCACCACTTGTGCTGCTGGAGGCAACACGCTATATCAACCATTCTCCTGATCAACTGTGAATGAGGAATAGAGCGGTATGATAAGTAGAACTCAATAGTGGATCGCCATGTCTCATAATCTACTTCGTGACTAGGGCAAGGGATACGCCCAGAGAAAGATCTCAGTTTGATATTATGAGACAACTGTGAGGTCATTTCTGTGCTCTTTACTATATGCTCAACTACAACACGCTGTACTTCAGGTGTGGTAATGTGATCTGGAGACAGGTGGAAGTTACCGAATGAAGTTGCTGAGGCTTTGAATGTAGTGTGACGCTCAGGTGTTGCAGGAGCAGGCTTCATCTGCTTCATATTTGGCTTTGTAGTGGCTGTTTCTGAGGGGGTCATAGAATTTTCACGCTGCAAAAAAGAAGCACACATTATTTGGGCATCTCTTGAATGTTCTGTTTGTGTTTCCTCGACCAGTGTTTTTGTTATTCTTGACAATTCTTCCCTCAAAAGACTTTCCACTCAATTTGGCTATGTTCTTTAGCTCTGATAAAAACGTATGAGTGGTGTCTGTTCCAGCTGCCGTGGTGTAAACACTGTCCAATGCTTTCACATTATAGGCGACTCCAGTTTGTGTGTAACGCTCCAAGGATAAGATGGGTTTGAGTGATTCTACTGCTTCACCAGATACAAACTCATAGATGGTCTGTGTCTTGAAATTAGATTCTGCATCAACAATTGAAATGATACGATTGATTTTACCATATTGTTTAAGGTAATCATATATTTCCTCTTCTTGAGAAGTGTTACGGCCCGGCTCGTGAGACCATAACATGAGAGGGAGGACACGACAAACGGAGAGATTTAAACCCTCTGTGGGGCATTTATTTAAACAATAATAAAGTAATCTTTATGAAATCAGTGTATAGTGAGTGGGGTGCAAGGTGTTGTATATGAAAGTCAGTAGGACAACCGTTGTGGTGCAAATGTTGTGTTGTAGTGCGTGTAAATGAAAAGACAAACTGGCGTGGCGTGGTGGCTGGTCCGACAGGACCCAGGATGGTGGCGCAGTCCGGGCATGCCGGCAGGTGCCCAGAAGCCAGGTGAGAGAGTGAGAGTGAGAGTGAAGGGGAAGCCGCTTTTTGAAGCATCCGGGAGGTCACATGACTTCCCAGCTGCCTCCCATCATCTCAGCAGAATGTCATACAAACACTGCCACCACAGGCCCAGCAGAGGGGTCCGTCACAAGAAGTATCCCACAGACCACTCACAATAACAGAGTTTGGCACCTTAATACTTTCCTTCTTCATAATATCCATTTTACAAGTGGTTATATGAAGCAGTAGATTAAAAAATAAATATTGTTATTTCAATGCAATAACAAGGCTGACTTTCAGTTGTGGCTTTTTCAAATACTAAAAATTATCTAAGGAGCTCTCCTGGCTGGCTCGCCAAGCTTTCCCATGTAACCCACTTTGGAATTTACATACTAGGTTCATAAAGAGCTCAAATATTAAGTTTTGGAACTGTAGCCACAATGATAGACAGACAATAATTTAGAAAATGTAAAGTGATTTAGTAAAAGATTTATAACCACAAATACAATATCAAATTAAAATACTAAAATAAAACCCTTTCAAGTCTGGTGAGTGCACTCAAGTTTCGTTCAAAGTTGTCAGTTTGCGATGAGATCCTCCAATTTTTGCTAAGTTGGGGTGGCTCAGCATCTAGTGGTCTTCGCCAAAGATGTTCCCAAACCTCATTAAAAAGACCCGATTCACGTCTACTCCGGGACAAAGTGACGTCACGGCTCTGAGTGTGAGCGCTCGCGCAGATAACTGCCAACTATCTTTCATGTTTGTTACTTTACGGAACTGTGTGAGAATCTGCGTTCAGCTTGACTCTTTCTCTCTCTTCTCTCTGCTCAATCAGTCAACTTTAACTCCAGGCCAGCAACAGGACTCTTCTTTTGGCTTGGATTGATGTTGTTTTTCCTCTGATTTGCGCTTTAGAATTGTTGAAATGTTGGAGCTGAGGTCTGCGTGTGTCTCGCTGCTTGACTCCGGTCAGAGAGAGGAGGAGCGGGGTCGCGTGCACCGTGGATCTGAACGTAACGTTTTGGTTGTTGCTACGCGACTTACGTATATGCTGCACTACAGTACATTTTGTTGCTTCATAGACAAATAAATAAATAAAAGGAAACAAAGTACACATTCTCATTTTGCACTTATATATGTAAGCCATAACTTTTGGTTAACATGTAAATTAGGTATTTTGTTTTAACCTTAGTTTTACACATGGGTTACATGTTCTATTTAGATGCACTGACTCAACGACTGAGTACGGCAAATACGATTGCATTCGCAAAAGCTGTGTAGAAGTGGCTGCGTTACGCCCATAGACTGCATATATCAACGGACAGAGTCACGCCTATCTCCGCCGTTCTAACTAATGGGCCAAAAATTGTGCTCTACTGGAGCTATCCAAAATGGCAGTGAGTGGTCCCGCCCACAAGAAAATTGTGAAAAAACGCATCTGCGCATGCGTCAGCTGGCGCAAGCGCCATTCATTTGAACGAGAGACTTCAAAAATTCACAACGAATAAACTAGAATGGTCCAAAAAAAAAAAAGATAAGATAAGATGTGCTTTATTTATCTCACATAGGAGAAATTTACATGTCACATTTGGCATGGATAGGACACTCAGATTGTGCAAAAGGAGGAAATGTGCAAACATGTTACATGCAGGATATATATGTACAATAAAAGTGACAATAATTATGTACGACAAAAGTGACAAGTGTGAATTGGAAACAGTGTCAATAGTAGTGCAGGTTTTCACACAGTGATCATTTAAAGTGACTTATTGTACAGTCTGACAGCGGTGGGGATAAAGGCCCTGCGGTAGCGCTCCTTCCTACACTGAGGGTGCCTCAGTCTTCCACTGAAGGAGCTCCTCAGCTCCTCTACAGTCCTGTGCAGTGGGTGGGAGGTATTGTTCATGATGGAGGTGGCTTTGGCTAGCACCCTCCTGTCCCTCACCTCCTCCACAGAGTCCAGGGAGCAGCCCAGAGTGGAGCTGGCCCTCCTGACCAGCTTGTTCAGTCTGTTTCTGTCCCGCTCTGTGCTGCCCGGGGCCCAACACACGGCAGCATAGTAAATGGCAGAAGCTACCACAGAGTCATAAAAAGTCCTGAGCAGAGGCCTGCTCACTCCGAAGGACCTCAGCCTCCTCAGAAGGAAGAGGCGACTTTGGCCCTTCTTGTGCAGGGCGTTTGTATTATGGGACCAGTCCAGTTTATTGTTAATGTGAACACCCAGGTACTTGAAGCTGTCCACCAGCTCAATGTCCTCCCCCTGGATGTTCAGCAGCGTGTGGGAAAGTGGTTTTCTCCTGAAGTCGATGATCATTTCCTTGGTCTTACTGGTGTTCAAGCACAAGTGGTAACCGACCGATATTCCAGTTCGTTCCCCTCAGACACACAGCCCACGATGGCGGAGTCGTCGGAGAACTTCTGCAGGTGACAGCTGTGTGTGTCGTGTGTGAAGTCTGAGGTGTAGATGGTGTAGAGAAACGGTGAGAGGACCTCAGACTCACAGCTGCGCAGCCGCACGTACTGTGGTCGGTCTGAGAGGTAGTTGATGGTCCATGGAGTGAGGCTACTGTCCACTCCCGCGTCCTCCATCTTCCCCTGCAGCAGTGCCGGCCTGATGGTATTGAAAGCGCTGGAGAAGTCAAAAAAACATGACCCTCACAGCGCTCCCGGCGGGCTCCAGGTGGGAGAGCGTCCGCTGCAGGAAGTAGATGACGGCGTCCTCTACTCCGATGGGGGGGGGTGTACTGTCCGAGGTGGGGGCTGGGGATGCGGGGGCAGGAGGGCCCGGGGCAGCCGGAGGCAGTGTCCACTGGGCTGGGGACGTGTGAAGAGGTGGGGGCGGGAGGGGGGGCAGATGGAGAGGGGGGAGAATCAAACCGGTTGAAGTATTGGTTAAATTCATCCGCCCGGTGCTGGTCTCCATCCGCTGTCCCTCTGGCACTCTGTCCAAAGCCGGAGATGTTCTTTAGGCCTCTCCACACGTCGCGGGCGTTTCTCTGGGCCAGCTTCTGCTCCAGCTTTTTCCCATAGTCCTTCTTGGCCCTCCTGATCCTCCACTGGAGCTCGTGCTGGATCCTCTTCTGCTCCTCCCTGTCCCCTGAGATGAAAACCCTTTTCTTGAGGTTCAGGAGGGCTTTAAGCTCAGGGGTCACCCATGGGTGGTTGTTAGAAAAACACCGCACCTTCTTAGTTGGTACAGTGTTATCCACACAGAAGAGAATATAGTCTGTAATGCAGTGTGTCAGGCTCTCGATGTCCTCACCATGAGAGCTGCAGATCATTTCCCAATCAGTGTTTTGAAAACAATCTCTCAGCATCTCATCCACATCATCGCTCCACAATTTTACAATCCTCTTCTGCGCTGGATTTCTTCTCACCACTGGTGTGTATTCCGGAGACAGATGGACCAGGCTGTGATCAGAGCGTCCGAGAGGGGGGAGGGGGGAGGAGGCGTATGCGTCCCGCACATTAACATACAGTAGGTCCAGATTCTTATTGCCGCGAGTTGGGCACGTGACATACTGTTTGAACGTCGGGAGAGTGGCGGAGAGGGAGGCGTGGTTAAAGTCTCCGCTGATCAGAATCAGAGCGCGGGGACTGAGGGTCGGGATCTGGGTCACAGTTCTGTGGATCCCCTCACATGCCGCGGCCCCGTCTCCTGACGGAGGAATGTAAACACATAGAACCACGGTGTGTGAAAACTCCCGCGGCAGATACCTGGGTCTCAGGCTCACAGCGAGCAGCTCCAGGTCCTGTGTGCATGTACGCTGAACCACATGCACGTGCGTCGGGATGCACCACTGCTTGTTCACGTAGACCGCGACACCCCCGCCTTTCCTCTTCCCACTCCCCTCCGCGCAGCGGTCCGCTCGCACAAGTTTAAATCCCTCCAGCGCGACCACAGAGTCCGGTATATTCCCACACAGCCACGTCTTAGAGAAACACATAAGTCCACATTGTCTGTACTCTTTTTGATGGCAGACCAGTGCGGTCAGCTCCTCAGTCTTATTAGAGATGGACCGTACGTTCCCCATGATGATGCAGGGGAGATACAGTCTCTTCTTCCTCTTTCGGCCTCCTCTGGAGGCCCTGCGTCTCCTACGGATCTCCAAGGGGATCACCGGCTTCTCTGAGTGCCGGAAAGCGGAGTCTCTAAGTCCGAGAAGCTGCTCCCGTGTGTAAACAATGGGACATGCTGGTCTCGTGGCTCTGTGAGCGGAGGACTCCGACAAAAGTGCCAAAGACATGTTAATCCAGTGAGAAAGTCCACGAGGCTAGGCTTCCCGTGTGCACAATGCACAAATAAATGCTTGCCTACAAAAAATAAAAATAATAAAGCACATCTACAAGAAATAAATAGAGAAAGGGTCGGAAAGAGAAGAGAGCCAAAGTGCTTTGGGGCAAGAGCCAACTTCTGGACCATCCTGCAAAGACGTTTTCCAGAGGTCGCTGTATGTTAGCATTGGCTAATTCTTCTTCTGGGTCCACCCAGTATGCCAGCGCACGTCATTTTGGCCACTTTTGAGCTGGGACCCGCCCCCACTGGTTACGCCCCAGACCGAGGGGGAGGAGCTGGACGACCAACGCAGAGTGAGCGTGTTAAAAGAAAAAAAAAAAGAATACAGATACAATAAAAACTATTTATTTTTAAAAGATGCTTGGGGTATGGACATTTTCTTCTGTGTGTGCTTCATATTTTTCATGTGTTTTAACTGTTGATTCTCTGACCTGTGTTGGTGATTTCAATGGTTTTGTTAAGTCCTCTGAGATGACTTCTGTTGTGACCTAGGGCTATACAAGAATAAATTGTATTGTATTGTATTGTATTAACATAGTTTCAATTACTATTTGCTATCTGGGTAGTTGTTTTATTGTGTTAATTAACAATGTATTTATTTCGCAAATTTGTGTTTTCTCCTTTTAGAAGTTCCCAGAGTCTTTTTGATAAATGTTTAATGACAGACCATTATTGGAGGAGATGTTCCCTTTAATAGTTGCATAAACAACTGCCTTCAATGACTCTGCACTGACGGTGAACGGGAACATGCGAATACAAATTTAGGAAAGACCAAGTTCACACATGAGCTCTAGTACGGGCTGACAACCATGTATCTAGTTTTATTCCTGACATATTATAAATGATCTGTATTTTACAACTATTTTTAGGTTTTCTTAAAAGATATATCAGCAGGAGTTTCCAATTATTGGTAATAACTGCTCTCCACTTTTTGAACCAAACACTCTGAACAGTGTTTTATTTGACGAGAATGTTTCAAAAGACTAACAATTAGACTTATGAGCAACGTAATTAAAACAAAAAACGACCGTATTCTGGTCAGTTTACAGTCTGCACACATATTGTCATTATAGAAGAGACTCTTTATTGTGTGTGGGTGGCCCTGAAAAGGACCTTTATGTTACTTTGTAAACCGCTTCGTTTACTTGGAGCTGGTGTACTTTGTCACGGCCTTGGTGCCCTCAGACACGGCGTGCTTGGCCAGCTCTCCAGGCAGCAACAGACGCACTGCAGTCTGGATCTCCCTGGAGGTGATGGTGGAGCGCTTGTTGTAGTGCGCCAGGCGGGAGGCCTCTCCTCCGATGCGCTCGAAGATGTCGTTGACGAAGGAGTTCATGATGCTCATGGCCTTGGAGGAAATGCCGGTGTCGGGGTGAACCTGCTTTAGCACCTTGTAGACGTAGATGGCGTAGCTCTCCTTCCTGCTCTTTCTCCTCTTCTTGCCGCCTTTGCCGGCGGTCTTGGTGACGGCTTTCTTGGAGCCCTTCTTGGGCGCGGACTTCGCTGGATCAGGCATTTCTTCAATGAGTACAGACTGGTCAAGAGGCGGTCCGTGCGCTTTCTTTATACTCGCATCATGCAGAGCAGCTGCGCTGTTCCTCTCACTTGATTGGTCAGACCTCCCCCGCTGGAGTTTCTCTCCATCTCTCTTTCTGGAGGAGGACACGGATACAGGACAAAGAAACTGTGGAGAGCGTTAGAAAAAGAAAACAAAGAGCTCATCTAGGTTTATGGGAATATTTAGAGACATGGAATATATAAAGTGAAGTTTAAAACAGATTTTTTTATTTATTTCATTCATGAACAAATGCAACAGCATTTACTATGAACGAAAAGGAACAGAAAGAAGTAAAAACTTATATTATTTAAACAACTAAAATGACCTCGTGCTCAACTCACTCGTACAGAATTAAATGGACACAAACTGTTACCATCACAGGTGGTTGAAGCTAGACGGAAAAAAACCAAAATAAACCACTGGTCAAGCCATTAAATAAGTTTGCGCTAGTAGTCACGACAGAAGGAGTCTCTTAAGAGCCGTTGTGTTTGGTGAAGAGTAGTTTCCCCATCCTCTGGCTGAAGTTGTGACCCACAGAGATAGTTTATTTTTTATCACATTTTCTACAAAATGAAGGGACATAATGATATTCATCACATGAGAAGTTTCTTCTTTTTTTAGAGTGGGTGGCTCTTAAAAGAGCCGTTTGAGTTTGTTACAGTCCCATCTTTAACCTCCGAAGCCGTACAGAGTGCGGCCTTGTCTCTTCAGCGCGTACACCACGTCCATGGCGGTCACGGTCTTCCTCTTGGCGTGCTCGGTGTAGGTGACAGCGTCACGGATCACGTTCTCCAGGAAAACCTTGAGCACTCCGCGGGTCTCCTCGTAGATCAGACCGGAGATACGCTTCACACCGCCGCGTCGAGCCAGACGGCGGATAGCGGGCTTGGTGATGCCCTGGATGTTATCACGGAGGACTTTGCGGTGACGCTTGGCGCCTCCTTTCCCAAGTCCTTTTCCTCCTTTTCCTCTTCCGCTCATTTTGACTGTTCTATGGTAAGACACTCAGATGAGGTTAGACAGCTGCGCTGCTGACTTTGTAAGGCCTCTGCGAACGTGACTGAAGACTGCAGAAGGCCGTTATTTCGGAGAGGCGCGTGCGCGGCGTGGGGTTTCACAGTCACCATGTTTCTACACAAACGTTCACGTGAGGAACAATAATCATGAGGGGGGAAAAAAGATTTTGGCTCAGCTCCGCTCTTTACAGGACAGGACCAGTGTAATTTGTGGTCAAACTTTAAAGGTCTTAGGCGTTATTAACACCTTTATGGTTTCTTCAATAGTTCAGGAACATTTGCATGTGTTCTATTCATCTTTTAATTCACATGTATTTGTAGAGCGCTTTTCCTGCACAGAAGAACACAAAGTGCTTTACAGCTTCATCACTATGAAGGCGTAACTGATAAACATTAAAATCACACGACATTACAACCATTCAAACCATTAAATGGCCACGATGGGGCCAGAGCATCCAGCCTCTGGTCCCAAACTCTGGAAACCTGGACCTGCGACATCCTCACTTTTTCAAATCACAAAACCTACCGTACTGGCTTCTTTTTTGTTTTTACATATTCCATTCTGTACTTTTAACTGTGTGCCTTAATACATCGGTTCCACTATTATCAACCAAATCAAAGGGATTAAGATAATAAATAACCACAGTGCAAAAGCAGAGATAAAATCCTCCAGTTATTTATTTATTTTAGACATTTATTTAAAGAGGAATAACCCCATGAGATGCATCATCTCGTTTTCGTGGGGGTCCTCTATAGACAGGTTACAGCAGAGTAGTCATTTGATGTACAACAACAGCAAAGGAAACAAAATGATACTATAAATTGGAACAGATTACAAACACAATAAAAAAACAAAAACATACACACGCACACACATCACACCAACTCTCATTTACCCTCCCTCCACTACCAATACATTACAGATGATATTGCATTCTTGTGAAAGCATGTTTAAGTACATATACAAACATAGAATTGTGTCACACGTGAGTGAAAGATATACATTTCTCATGCACACAAACCATTGCTTAAACCATTTGATTACAGGCAAATATGGAAAAGAATTGCAAACTCTCCAACGAAAAAAGTACCACAAAGACTTTGCGTTATAAACACAAACAAGTATTTTGCAGGTTTGTGAAAGTGGCTGTTCTGAAAGTAAGAAATGAAGTTATAAAACGAATAGAAGCAGGAAGGCTGTTCCAGTCTCGAACCCTGAACATTATTGAAGTAATGTTGAAGTGAGTTAAATGTCTGCAATGTTGGGTTTGGAACAGTAAAGCATTGTCTCATCTGCATAAAGGTGAATCTGGCAGTCTGTTATACGCACAGGCAAAAGTCCCTGTGCTCCTCACTCTCTCCATGTTAGTGCCATATGAACTGACAAACTGAACTGTTCTGAGCCACATGTGAAGGAAGGAAATTCGTGATTCATTAAAAGCACTTCATTCGGAATTTATAGTCATCTCGTTCTTGCGTTAGATAAATAGTCTCGCAAAAAAAATAATATATATATTATCTATACACACGGATCATGTGTGTATACAAAACATGATAACCAATGGTATAGCACTCGTATTCACAACAGAAGATACATCTCTTTCAAGGGAGTGGGTGGCTCTTAAAAGAGCCGTTGTGTGGTGGTTGTTCACAGTCTTTACTTGGCCTTCTCAGTCTTCTTGGGCAGCAGAACGGCCTGGATGTTAGGCAGCACACCTCCCTGGGCGATGGTCACTCCTCCCAGCAGCTTGTTGAGTTCCTCGTCGTTGCGGACGGCCAGCTGCAGGTGGCGGGGGATGATACGAGTCTTCTTGTTGTCTCTGGCGGCGTTTCCGGCCAACTCCAGGATCTCAGCGGTCAGATACTCGAGTACCGCGGCCAAATACACGGGTGCTCCGGCTCCGACGCGCTGGGCGTAGTTACCCTTCCTAAGCAGCCTGTGCACACGGCCCACGGGGAACTGCAGCCCGGCCCTGGAAGAGCGGCTCTTGGCCTTCGCTCTGGCTTTACCTGCGCCCTTTCCTCGTCCAGACATCTTGAGCTATTCTTTGAGTCTTGAAAGATTCAACTGTGCTCGGTCGAAGATGCGGCTGATATATAAAGACCCTGCTTCGCGCTGATTGGTCTAGATTGGAGGACAGTACACCAATCAGAACACACCACCCGGAGCCAGCCTCAGGCTGAGCGCGCTCTTTACACAACGTTCATTCATTCAGTGATGAATGAGAGTTGTCCAGTAAAGTAAATAATTATCAATTTTGGTGGATCTCTGATTACTATATTTTTCATCCTATCATGATAAATATCTGATGTAAGTTTTGTACATGTTTCGAACACCAAAAGATATAATAAATGTAAAATCCTCCATTTGACCATAAGATTGAGGGGTGAGACACGAGCTGGAGAGTGAGAAATGTCTAACCAAAATAAGCCTTCGTGGAGTATCATGAAGGGTCAAGTATAACATAGCACACATGCCAGGCCGTTTCGTTTAGAACATGAAATAGAAATATAACTGCTTTCTCTTGGAGTCTTGGAGATGAAGACCGTCGTGAGACAGGTTAGTTTTACCCTTGTTGCAAAAGTAATTCACTCCCACGACCCAGAAATGGATTAAGGGGAAGAAAATGAATGGATAGTCAGGAAGTGTCAATCTATACTTCACGTTGCGTTCATGCATCCTTTGGATAGTCTGTCATGCACGGTCATTATGAATTTTGTACCTTTGGGTTTGGAATTTATTACTACATATTTCACACATTGAAGTCAATCTCTTATTGGCATGTGGTGGCTCTTAAAAGAGCCGTTGTGTGGAGAATGGAGCCGCTGCTTTAAGCCCTCTCCCCGCGGATGCGGCGAGCCAGCTGGATGTCCTTGGGCATGATGGTCACCCTCTTGGCGTGGATGGCGCACAGGTTGGTGTCCTCGAACAGACCCACCAGGTAGGCCTCGCTGGCCTCCTGCAGAGCCATGACTGCGGAGCTCTGGAAGCGCAGGTCGGTTTTGAAGTCCTGGGCAATCTCCCTGACCAGGCGCTGGAAGGGCAATTTGCGGATGAGCAGCTCTGTGGACTTCTGATAGCGGCGGATCTCCCTCAGAGCCACTGTGCCGGGCCTGTAACGGTGAGGCTTCTTCACGCCGCCGGTGGCCGGGGCGCTCTTGCGGGCAGCTTTGGTGGCGAGCTGCTTCCTCGGAGCCTTTCCTCCGGTGGATTTGCGGGCTGTCTGCTTGGTTCTGGCCATTTTGTTTGCTCTGTATCAGTGCGAGAACTTGAAACAGGATGAGACTCAGAGCTGAGGCTGTGGGTCTTTATACATGTCAGGGCGAAGCTGATTGGTTCTGAGGCGTTAGCCCCGCCCCTGTCCCGCGCGCTGCTTTCATTCACGAGGCGGAGGCTTCTGACTCTGAATACGTTTGAGGGGCAGAATCACCAGTTTCTGGAGGGGACCATCGACTGTAATATATTGGAGACTCAGGAAAAACAACAGTTACTGTCATCTATATGTTTAACTGTCCCCTGTATGACAGACAGGAACTGGTCATTTATGAAGAGATACACACACAACATTATTATCGATTGTATCACGTTGTTGTGAGACAGGCCTCCTCTCTGACAATGTTTAAAACCAGGTTAAAAGTAACCAGTTCTGTTTAGCTGTGCATACAACTGAGGGATTTTATATTTGTATCTTTCTTTTTAATGTTCTGTGATTATTTATGATTTTAATGCTTTCTTGTTTTGTTCAGCACTTTGAATTGCCTTGTGTATGAATTGTGCTATATAAATAAACTTGCCTTGCCTTGCCTTACTACGAAATATCAATAAAGTGAATGTGACAAAAGATCATTATACGTAATTGATTTGTCGTAATAATAGTAATAATGCATATGTTTTATACAGCGCTTTTCTGGACACACAAATACACTTCACATGTCCTTATTCATTCACTCCAAACAAAGTGGTGATAAACTACTAATGTAGCCACAGCTGCCCTGGGGCACACTGACAGAAGCGAGGCAACCAGTATGTGCCATCGGCTGGTCTCACCACCAACAACCATTCACACACACACGAGACTCATTCTAATGTGGGTGAAGTGTCTTGCATAAGGACTCAACCAGTTTGGCATTTTACAGCCGCAGCCTGTAAAGTGCTGCGGCTTGTATAATGCTATTAGTCCTAGTTATTAGACGTGCATAATAACACTGTGATTTATACGTTGGCTTAAGAACAGAAGCGTCACTCTAGCGGAGGTGGTGGCTCTTAAAAGAGCCTTTGAGTTGAAAAACAACACACACAAAGGAGTTTACTTCTTGGCCTTCTTGGGAGCTGCCTTCTTGGGAGCTGCCTTCTTGGGGCTCTTCTTCACGGCCTTGGGCTTCTTGGGAGTCACCTTCTTGGCGGGTTTCTTAGCCACCTTCTTGGGGCTCTTTGCTGCGGGCTTCTTGGTCACTTTCTTGGGGCTCTTTGCTGTGGGCTTCTTGGCAGCTTTCTTTGCAGGTGACTTGACCTTCTTCACCACCTTCTTCTTGGGGGTGGTCGCTTTCTTTGCAGCGGGCTTCTTGGCTTTGGCGGGGGCCTTCTTCACGGTCTTAGGCTTGGCTTCCTTTGCGGCCAGTTTGAAGGAGCCGGAGGCCCCGGTGCCTTTAGTCTGGCTCACTACGCCGTTGAGCACCATCCTCTTCAGGGTGTTGTTGATGCGCTTGTTGGCCTTGACCACATCGACGCCCTTCGCCGCCAGCGCCTTCTTCACGGCGGCCACGGAAACGCCTTTGCGCTCCTTGGACTCCGCGATGGCGGCCTTGATGAGGGCTGTCAGGTTGGGGCCATCGCTCTTCTTGGCTGCGGCCTTCTTCTTGGGGGCCTTGGCTTTAGTCGGAGCGGGTGCTGCGGGTGCGGTCTCTGCCATGGTGCGCGTTGAGGTTTAGATCTGAGTCTAGTGGAGACGGAGGCGAGAGGAGGAGGTTTATAACGGCTATGAGAACCGTAGAGACTCAACCCGCTCCGCTCAGTGTAGCTGGCTCGGCTCTGTGTTTTCTCTTCTCACTTTAGAGTTAAAATATAAACAAATAAAAGACGTTTCACAATCATGTTATACATCCTCGTGTGCGGAAGAAGCTCCGCTTTATGGATACATGGCCTTCTTCTCAGTTAAGACATCTGTAACGGAGTTTAATGCTCAAAACCACGTGGATGTCTGTGATGATCCAACTCAGGGCGAGGACTTTTTCCTACATTTAGCGTTAAAAACGTCTTGATTATTCTTTAATGACAGATATTGAGCATATCCACAAAGAGAGGACACGTCGCAGTTTTATTTCGAGTCTTTAAACTTTCGCCCTGAGTGCAGCGTTTAGTTGTATTTAACAAAGATGTCGGCAGTAGTAACACACCAGCAGCAGCGGGTTTGAACCACGCAACACTATGTTGCCCTTTGTTTGGAGAAACATTTCGTGTAATGATGATCACTTTGCTCTAACACCAACATTCACCCGTCCATTAGTTAGTTAACAGTCAGCACTTCTGTTTTATTTCAGCACAAAGCTTCTAAAAGGGAGCAATATTACTGTAAACTGTGTGTGCCTTGAGGTGTTGTTTGTGCCATTGAAAATGACCCAATATCATCTATTGTGAGAAGATTAGAGATGCTTTTTCTCTTGCCTCTTATTTGAGCATAACGCAATTGGACAACAACCTCAATGGATCTTTTTTTGATAAATTATGAAATTATAATAACACTGAGCTGTTACAACAGAAGTCAGTGAAGTTACATTTGAGTTTGTGTTTGCTGTGGTGCTTGTTTTTTTTTTGTCCATTCTTTTTTCTTCATGATTACATATTTAATAATGATCTTTATTCATCCCACAGTGGGGAAATGTCTATGTTGCAGCGCACATACAAGACAGTAGTGAGAGACACAGGGAGCACACAACATATACATAATAAGTGAGAAGCTGCTATGTTTCTTAGCTGTAAATGCCTCTTTACCAGTCTTTCAACAACAAACAAACACAAAAACAGTCAGAAGTTCTCATTGTACAGTCAGATAGCAGCAGGAAGGAAAGACTTGCATAGCCTCTCCTTCACACGGCGAGGGTGCCTAAGTCTGTCACTGAAACTGCTTTCCAAAGCATACAGAGTGTCCTGCAGGGGACCACAGTCATGGTCCAGCATAGATGTTTGTCCAGGATCCTCAGGGAACAGCCCTGGACAGAACCATAGACTGTAAAAATTAATGGTCGTAGTCACGCCTATCTCCGCCGTTCTAACTAATGGGCCAAAAATAGTGCTCTACTGGAGCTATCCAAAATGGCCGCGAGTGGTCCCGGCCACAAGAAAATTGTGAAAAAAACGCATCTGCGCATGCGTCAGCCAGCGCAAGCTCCATTCATTTGAACGAGAGACTTCAAAAATTCACGGCGAGTAAACTAGAGTGGTCCAAAAAAATTCACTCCCCTCAGCATTGACACACATGTGGAACGGAGCTTTGGGCCAAGAGCCAACTTTTGGACCATCCTGTAAAGACGTTTTGAGAGGTCTGCCAATGCGAATTCTTATTCCGGGTCCACCCCCATCGGCCCGCGGTGATATTTAAAGCATGTCAGCGCACGTCATTTTGGCCACTTTTGAGCCGGGACCCGCCCCCACTGGACAGAACCGGACTTCCTTATGACCTTGTCCAGCTTCATCAAAGTAGCATCCAAAGGACTAGTAAACAAACTATTCATGTGGAGAGGTCATCTTAAAGACATCTTTGAAGACCTTCATGATAAATGAGAACTTTTTCAAATAATAATAATAATAATAATGCATCAGTTTTATATAGCGCCTTTTTGGACACTCAAAGACGCTTCACATGTCATTATTCATTCACTCCAAACACGGTGGTGATAAACTACTAATGTAACCACAGCTGCCCTGGGGCACACTGACACAAGCGAGGCAACCAGTATGTGCCATCGGCCCCTCCAACCACCACCAACCATTCACACACACCAGACTCATTCTAGGCAATGGGGGTGAAGTTTGGCACTTTACAGCCGCAGCCGCCCCACTGATAACATTAGTCCAGTTCTCAGGTCTCAGCTTGTGTCTCTTCATGGCCTCGCACAAAACTACATCCGAGACATTTTTGTGCCATAAAAACCGACTCTGAGGAGCGCAGAGTCTGACAATGTTAAAAGAAACTATTCTTTTTCGCCAAGCATACAACAGAGATTTTAGAGTACTGTGATTATTTATGATTCCCGTCTAGTTTTGTTCTTTGAGTGGCAGTTTGTGACTGTGCTATACAAATAAACCTGCCTTGCTCCAGGATATCTATGCAGTTATGAAGTGTCAGGAATGAAGCAGACAGAGACGGATCGTGGTGCGCCAAACTCTGGAAGTTTATTTAAGTTTCTCTCAAGTTCCAGTGGTTTCAATTGTTTCTTTCTCTCAGACAGAATAAAGGCAGTACACAGTTTATATAGTCATTGTTTTTGATGTGGAAATGCTGTTCACCGATTTAGTGACTAGCACAGCGAGAACTGTTAGCAAGAACACATGGGGCTCATAGCTCTGCATTACATATGATGACGTCACTCAGGAAAAGATAGGTATACTTTATTGATCCCCCGTATAGGAGAAATGCAGGTGTCCAGCAGCAGAAGACTCATCCAGGTTTGTTGTACTGCCGAAGGAACAAAGGATCTCTTGAAACGTTCCGTTTGGCAGCGCAGTGATAGGAGCCTGTTGCTTCGGCTACTCCTGAGGGTGTCTGGAGTTACCCAGGATGCCCTGCATTAGAGCACTCATCCTTCTCTGCAGCACAGGCTCGTAGAGTCCACACTTTTTCCAAAAGCACCTGAGTATGTCTTTGGGAGCAGATGGAATCTTTTTTTTTTTTTTTAATAAAGGATTTGATGTAAACAGTCAACTTCTGCATATGTATTTAGGGAACGGAGACAAACTGCTCATAAAAGATAATGTAATTATATCACAACAGAAGTCAAGCCTCTTTGACAGGGTGGGTGGCTCTTAAAAGAGCAGTTTGTGTTAGTTTACAGTCCCGTGTTTAACCTCCGAAGCCGTACAGAGTGCGGCCTTGTCTCTTCAGCGCGTACACCACGTCCATGGCGGTCACGGTCTTCCTCTTGGCGTGTTCGGTGTAGGTGACAGCGTCACGGATCACATTCTCCAGGAAAACCTTGAGCACTCCGCGGGTCTCCTCGTAGATCAATCCGGAGATACGCTTCACACCGCCGCGGCGAGCCAGACGGCGAATGGCGGGTTTGGTAATGCCCTGGATGTTATCACGGAGGACTTTGCGGTGACGCTTGGCGCCTCCTTTCCCGAGTCCTTTGCCGCCTTTTCCTCTTCCGCTCATAATTACAAATCTATGATGAGATTCTCAGAGAGGTGTAAGACTCTGGATCTGCTCCACTGCCTTTATTCAGCATCTGCGGACGTAGTTGAAGACTGTGGGGCACGTGGGGGATGGGCGTTCATCCGCCTGACTGAGAAGCTGTAAAATAAAATTAAAAAAAAGTTATTTATCAAGCGATCGTTAACTTGTATAATAATGGAAATGACCTGATGACTCATTGTTATTCACAAGCCAAAAACGATTGTAACTATAAGCTAAATACTTCATATTTAGATGGTTTAAATCCTCATGTATCAATCTATTCAAAGCAATCTATACATATATGCAACAGATGCCAAATATTTGAACAAACTTTAGACATCAGCTCTTTAAAGTAGAGTCCAAACAGAACTTTGAGAAATGTATTAACTTTGAATTAACAGGATAAGATTTAAAAGGTGTGAATAAAACGGGGACCAGAGTACAATTTATATTTAGTTATAAAGTTACTATAATTCAATAATTTCATTCATTTCATACAAATGTACAAAAGTTCATAAACCAAGGAACTCGAATTAATACAAACAAAATAGTGCAATTTTGTGTCCAATAATGTAATATTAAATACTATTGACCACGAATCCCTTGGATTTTTTTGACTTTCTGCTCTTTGTGATTTGCCTTTACCTGGAAAGTAAACACTCCACTTTGTTACTAAATCTTTTGCCGGCGGTTTTTCATGAGGCGTAGTCCCAAAGGTTCTTTTTTTTTAGAATTAGACCTGGTCGAAACGAAGGACTACTACATTAATAGATCACTGCACAACGTGGTACAAAAGCACAGAACGTTTATATAAGACATAACAAGGATCTTTCAACAAGACACACGAGTTATTTGGACCATTGTCGTTGGTCCTTGTCCTTCATTTAATCGAAAACGAACAACATGAGGTAGAAGTATAGTCTTTGTCAGATGTGGTTGGCCCTGAAAAGGGCCGTTGTGTTGCTTTGTAAACGGCTTAGTTTACTTGGAGCTGGTGTACTTTGTCACGGCCTTGGTGCCCTCAGACACGGCGTGCTTTGCCAGCTCTCCGGGCAGCAACAGACGCACTGCAGTCTGGATCTCCCTAGAGGTGATTGTGGAGCGCTTGTTGTAGTGCGCCAGGCGGGAAGCCTCTCCTCCGATGCGCTCGAAGATGTCGTTGACGAAGGAGTTCATGATGCTCATGGCCTTGGAGGAAATGCCGGTGTCGGGGTGAACCTGCTTCAGTACCTTGTACACGTAGATGGCGTAGCTCTCCTTCCTGCTCTTTCTCCTCTTCTTGCCGCCTTTGCCGGCGGTCTTGGTGACGGCTTTCTTGGAGCCCTTCTTGGGCGCGGGTTTAGCATCAGGCATGGTGCGTGACTGTGTGATTACAGCAGACAACTGTGTGTGAGTAGAGGCCTGTCCGCATATTTATACGCATTGCATGTAAATGAGCTGTGCTGTTCCTCTTTGCTGATTGGTCCAACCAAATATCTCAACTCTCCATCTCTCTGTAGGTTTGGAACGTTCAGCTTGCA